TATTTCTCGCGCAGTGCAGCGCGTGACGAATATTAAAAGAAAGCTAAGCCGAAAAATTGAAAATACAAGAGCGCGTGCATTAAATAAATAAATATCTCTTTTTGATTTCGAGAAAGTACTGGAAAATTCTAGCGCGTGATTTTAAAATCTTATAAAAGGAGGAAAACATCTCAGTTTGTAGTTAGTAGTTGCTTAGTTTGTTGTTGTTTAAAAAAACTACTGTTGTTGATTGTAGCGAGTTCGCAGATTAGCGTTCTTTAACTGTTTTGAATTACGTTCTATTGGATATTTGAGTAGTTAAAAGATAACTACTGTGAGATATTGTAGTAGAGATCACTGATTCTTGCATACTCGGATTGGACTTTCTAAGGAAATACAATTTTTCCTTGGACTTTAAAAATAACGAATTGCGTTCTACATCTGAGGACATAGCGTTATTTCGGAATTAATGATGGAAGTTAAATCTGTCCACAAATCATAGCACAAGAGATACAATATCACACAATACCCGCAAGAACAGAAGTTTTTACTTCCTGGATCCATAGCCGAAAATAGAAATTTCCGCTACGGCATCATAGAATATCCAATAACTGTAATAGCCCAAAAGGAGTACTAGATAGCCTCAACACTCGTCGACCTTATCCAGAACGGTTATCCCGGTGAGAGTCGCCAATGTAACTGAGAAGGCGAGAGTTATTAAGAAAGGATGAAGTGGTTGCAGCATGTACTCCAGTAACCATCGCTGAAAGAAAGAGTAACATCCAAGAATCCGTGTCTTCAGAAAGCATTACATTGGAGTTATTGCAGAATGCGCAATTAAACGATGAAGAGAAGAATGCTGCCGATCGCGTCATTAAAGATCTTCAAGTTGTTTTCTCCCGCTCGTCTTCTGACGTGGGTCGAACTAGTTTGACACAACATAGAATCGATACCGGCGATCATCCCCCGATCAAGCAACATCCAAGACGTCTACCGTTTGCTAAACAGGAAGAGGTGCGAACACTGTTAAAGATATGGAAGAAGGCGATGTCATCGAGCCTTCAGGAAGTCCATGGGCATCTCCCATCGTTCCTAGTCAGAAAGAAAGACGGCTCAACAAGATTTTGCGTTGACTATCGCCGGTTGAATGAGGTTACGAAGAAAGACAGTTACCCTCTTCCTAGAATTGACGACATTCTAGACACTCTTTCTGGAAGCAAGTGGTTCTCAACACTTGATTTAAAGAGTGGGTATTGGCAGGTAGAAATACACACCCTCATGACCGAGAAAAGACGGCATTTACTACGGGACAAGGGCTTTGGCAATTCAAGGTGATGCCGTTTGGACTGTGTAATGCGCCGGCAACATTCGAACGTCTTATGGAGACTGTTTTGAAAGGCCTTTCCTACGAAGCCTGCCTGATATACCTGGACGACATCATCATCGTCGGAAAGAGTTTTGAAGAACATTTAGAAAATCTTAGGAAGGTGCTTCAGAAACTGAAAGAAGCCAATCTGAAGCTGAGTCCCGCTAAATGCAAATTGTTCCGAAAGGAAGTGACTTACCTGGGACATGTCATCTCTGCAGAAGGTGTGCGCACGGATCCTGAAAAGGTATCAGCGGTTAAATCCTGGAAACGTCCCGAAAATGTCCATCAGCTGAGAAGCTTCCTAGGGCTTTGCACCTACTATAGGAGATTCGTGAAGGACTTTTCTTCCATCGCAAGACCCCTTCACAAGCTGACAGAGAGCAAGCAAAGTTCTTGTGGACAAAAGAATGCGAGGATGCATTTAACAACTTAAAGGAGGCTTTAACATCTGCTCCAATCCTGACGTATCCTCAGCTCGACCGACCATTTATTCTCGACACCGACGCGAGCAATGAAAGTGTCGGTGCTGTTTTGTCCCAAGAAATAGACGGCCAAGAACGTGTAGTGGCGTACTGGAGCAAATGCCTGTCTAAACCGGAGAGGAATTATTGTGTCACCAGGAAAGAGTTGCTCGCCATAGTCAAAGCTGTAGAACAGTTCCATCACTATCTATACGGCAGAAAATTCCTGCTCCGCACCGATCATGCATCATTGACCTGGCTTTTAAATTTCAAGAATCCTGAGGGTCAAATAGCCAGGTGGATACAGAGACTCCAAGAATATGACATCACTATCCGTCATCGTAAGGGATCATCACACGGAAACGCCGACGCCCTGTCTAGAAGACCTTGCCAAGAAAGCTGCCGATATTGTTCCAGGGTGGAAGCGAAATACGAGCTGCTGACTCCGGTCGCAAGACAAATTACAACATCAACATCGGCTGATCGAGAACCGTGGAGTGATGATGAAGTCAGGAAAGACCAGCTGGAAGACCGCGACATTAAACCCATAATTGATTTATAGGAGTCATCAAACAGAAAACCTACTGGCAGGACATTTCTATCTGTAGTCCTACAACAAAACAATACTGGGCACTCTGGGATTCACTTCACATTCGAAACGGCGTCTTATACCGGAAATTCGAATCGGATGATGGGAAGACGTTCCGATGGCAACTTATACTTCCAAGATCCCGCATTCCTGATGTCCTTAAAGAACTACATAAGCAGCCCTACAGGAGGTCACTTTGGAATAATGAAGACCTTGCAGAGAGTTCGTGAGCGCTTTTACTGGACTAATGCAAAGGATGACGTGCAAAAGTGGTGCCGATCTTGCGATGCCTGTGTAGGTCGAAAAGGACCGAGGAGACGCAGCCGAGGCAGACTGCAACCTTACAACGTAGGGGCGCCTTTCGAACGTATCGCATTTGACATCCTGGGACCTCTGCCACGAACTGCTGATGGCAACAAATACATACTCGTTGTCATTGATTACTTCACCAAGTGGCCTGAAGCTTATCCTTTTCCTGATCAAGAGGCTGTCACAGTAGCTGAGGTAATGATACAGCACTGGATTTCCAGGTTTGGAGTGCCATTTCAGTTACATTCCGATCAGGGAAGGAATTTTGCCTCGGCAGTAATCAAAGAACTATGCAAACTACTCGGCATTGACAAAACTCAAACGACGCCATTGCATCCCCAATCGGACGGCATAATAGAGAGGTTCAATCGAACCATCCTTAATAACCTCTCATTAGTGGTATCCAGAAACCAACAGGACTGGGACAAGAAATTACCACTCTTTTTACTGGCTTACCGCAGTGCTGTCCACGAGACTACCGGCTATTCTCCATCACAGATGCTCTTCGGTCGTGATTTTCGTCTGCCTTGTGATTGATCTACTGTTTGGCCGCCCTCCGGATGCTCCTTCTCCGTCTGAGGAATATATTCAAGATCTCCAGGCCCGGTTTGAAGTGATGCACAACTTTGCACGAGAGCGAGTCAACTTGGCGACGGAGAAGATGAAGACCCGATACGACACAAGAGCTACTGAACATCAATTCCACGAAGGAGACAAGGTGTGGTTGTGGAATCCGATTCGACGGAAAGGACTTCGTCCGAAATTACAGTCACCTTGGGATGGCCCGTACACAGTCCTAAACAGGCTGAATGATGTCATGGTTCGGATTCGTAAGTCTTCGAACTCTAAACCTACAGTCGTTCATTACGACAGGTTAGCTCATTACTATGGCCATAGTACATAATGTAAATAATTGTAAATAGTATAAGACCATGGTCCATTTTGTTTTTAAATGTGTATTTGATTTGATTTGTATTTAGTATTTGATTTGCATTTAGTATTTGATTTGTATTTGATAGCATTTGATTTGTTTAATTTATTGCATTTATTGTTCATGTTGTTAATTATTGTAATGTAATGCTTATTAATGCATTTATGCCACAGTTGTAAGTTTAGCTTCCTGTCCATTGATTGTACTGACCGGGACGTGCAGTCCTTGGAAAGGGGGTAGTGTTACGAATTTGGTATTTAAAAAGCTAATGTTAGTTCAATTATAAATTAAATGGTTTTATTTCTCGCGCAGTGCAGCGCGTGACGAATATTAAAAGAAAGCTAAGCCGGAAAAATTAAAAATACAAGAGCGCGTTGCGTTAAATAAATAAATATCTCTTTTTGATTTCGAGAAAGTGCTGGAAAATTCTAGCGCGTGATTTTAAAATCTTATAAAAGGAGGAAAACATCTCAGTTTGTAGTAGTTGCTTAGTTTGTTGTTGTTTAGAAAACTGCTCTTGTTGACTGTAGCAAATTCACGGATTAGCTTTCTTTAGCTGTTTTGAATTACATTCTATTGGACGTTTGAGTAGTTAAAAGATAACTACTGTGAGATATTGTAATACTGCATGATAATTTGAGAAAATGTTAAGCATTTTGTTTTTGTTGGGATAATAATAAATTTTGTTAACTTCTTCATCGGACTTGTGCATTCAATTCCATTAACGAACCCGTACGCACGCAACAATATATATATTTTTCTTATAACATAAATTGTGTGAAAATTGTTTTGGAATATGAAACAAAATTAAAGTTACCCCACTTGAAAATCACTAAATGACGTTAAAGTGAAAAAATTAATCTCGAATTTTTCTAATTTATATTTTGAAGGAAAGACGAAAAAGATACCCAGATTTCGAAATTAGTTGTTTCTGTCAATTTTTGTCCTTTGAGAATCATTTTGTGCTTTATCTATGATGAATATAGACGTATATTAAAATAGTTATAAGGACAGGAAGATCATATAAAAGTTAGATTTTGTAGTTTTTACGAAATTAATTAATTTATTTATTTTATTTAGACAAGACAAAATATGAATATTATCATTTCATAATTTTTTTAGATGGAATTATAATATGTACGACTAACGACTACAAAAGTAAAAAACCACATGTATGCTTTTATGGGCATTGTGTGTAATCATTATTAGAGCTCTTGTTTAAAATATTTTCATATAAAAGCCATTTCATTTTGCAAGAATTATGAAATTTCGACAGCTATATCATACTGTAATAACTAGTATTTAGTATTAAGCAAAATTTAAATAAAATACGAATATTTATCGAAAAGAAATGGAAACAAATGGCTGATGTATGAGTATTTATTAATTATTCAATAATATGATGCATAATGAACAATAACAACTGTATACACTGTACAGTATATAGAGCATACGCCCACATATTTGCATTTGTCAAAAAATTAGTTTACATTTGCAAAAAGGAGAAAAATGTATAACAAGTCATGCATAAAGCTTTAATTTTATTCTATGTACATGTCCGATTTAAGATGCTACTGAAGCATATTTTTCTTCATTTTTCTTGCCTTTGTTCACTTTTCGTGGATTTCGTCTTTGACTTCTTTGCAGTCTTTAGGGCTATGTAGCGTGTTTTCTATCTCTTTTATGGCAAAGTTGGTTGTAGAATGGGAATGTGCACTGTTTCAACTTTAAAAAAAAAATGTGTGTCTGCTCTCTATTCCTTGCCTAAGCTGCTATCGACAAGAAATAGCGTATGCCGTTAGTGTGGTATGAAGAAGATGGAATTCGCGTTTTCGCGCATTGGTCATAAGGCCATTGAATGCAATTCGCTTTTATTTCAGTAGATATTGCACTACTTAGATATCTGCTTTTGCAATTCTGATGGTCGAATGCCCATTGATTCCGCGAAAACTCGTTGGGATTTTGTGAAGTTTTTAGTTCAAAAGCTTTAAAAGTGAAAATGATAAGCACTGAAAGTACGATGCAAATAACCTCACTCTATAATTTATTTTATTTACTTTTAGAACACCGCATTTGATCCTGAAACACGTAAAGTTTTAAATCAAAGCAGGCAATCCACGGCTGCACTGGATCAAGCTTCCGTTACGTGTTTTTCAATCGATTCGACTATCGCAGATAATAATTTTTAGTTGCTCTACTAATGTGTCTTTTGTATTATAATTTCACATCATTTATATATTTAAGTTATGTATATGCATATTACCGTGCAATGCATTTTGATCAGTTGTAAGATCACACTTGTCTTCAGACATTCACAGGTGGAGAACACTGCTTGTGAAATTACAACTAATATCTAACTTCTACCAGGCTACTTTTTAATCTAATTTTTCTTTACAATTTAGTGTATGATTATGGATTATTCTCAGCTTGATCCGTCACACAACCGTCGAAAAATAGACTCTGGTGAATACATTGTGATAATGAGTGAAGAATGTGTATGTATGCATTAATAACTTATCACTAGGTATTGCAATGAAATAGATGTAACTCTTTGGTTTTGAGAACAGTAAGATTGCTTAGAGATAGGTTGTTTTAACAGTCTTGTGTTACGTCTAAAACTACAGATCAGGCGCGGTTTACTACAATCTGTATATTTATCTATATGAAGAATATATTATTGTACTATGTTCTATGCTTGAAAAAAAAAAAAAAAAGCACCAAAATCGCTATTCTAATGTGGATGTATTAGTAGTCTGTCAACCTTTATCCAAGAAGTCTTTAATGTTCAAAGTTACGATAGCCTTTCTGTTCAAGTGGAAGTTTTAGCCCCCTACTACTGTACACTTCAGTTTAAAAACAGAATATTAGTAACTTTTTACATTATTAACAGGCAGCTGTAGAATTTATAAGTTTTTCTCAAAAGCTCAAAATTTAATCAAGGAAATTTAAAATCTTTAAACGAATTGCATGCATTCAACAGCTTTAAGGATCCGTCAGTTTTCCGACACTATTTATCTTACAAATTTATCAGTATTTAAAGGTTTCATTGCGCTAATGCTCATACCTGTGATTTATGATAAGTCTTACAAAAGTCTGTGTGATATTTTTGGTAAATTCTGGAGAAAAGCGTACTCCCCCCCACCCCCCCCCAAAAAAAAGAGTAAAAATACCACATATATATTTGGATGCATTTTCAAAATTCCTTAAATTTCAAAATTGCAGTGAAGAACATTGGAGAAATTAAGAGAGTTTAAAATATTGATATATTATTATATGAAATATTGATTTATTTGTAAAGAAAGTGTTCCATTTTCTCCATCCTTAAATCGTAAATTCTGCAAGTGTATCCTTAAACAATAATTTCTTAACGTAGCTGAAGGTTTAAGAGCAAAGTTAGAAAGGTATATCTGTTTTTGATTTCAGATTAAACAGTTTAGCGAATTCAGAAACACATTAGATAATTGCATTTGCTACCTACGATTAATTTCAAAATATTAAACCAGCCTTATACAGATCACTTGAATGACAATGTAGATAGATACCTTTACAATTGTATGAAATCTCATTTTATAATCAAAGGTGTATATCATGGTTAATTAGAATTGCGTTTAATGCATTTATACATAGCAAAAATTCGTATTGCTAAGTTTGCTCCAGTGACAAATTTACTCCCGTTTAATTAATTTCTTTCGTTATCATAGAGAACATCTGGCAGAATTTGCTTCAGTTACCATCTACAATTAATTTTTTATTCTTTACACGCTGCCGTAATCTTGTACACTTCAGTGGAAACAGTGGTCACATTTCTATTTTGACTTTATTAAGAGTTATTCTCAATCGTAGAGGAAAGAGTTAAATTTCATAAAAAAATTTAGTGTATTATTAGTCTATCTTTATTCATTATAAAATCTCTTTAGTGTATTCTAGTATGATATTCTTAGAATTAAACCATCAATTTCAGTAGTTTCCAGACTACAGCAAGGTATTTGATACAAGACTGTGTTACCGGGATATCAGATTTTCAACTGCATAGTTGTACTGCGTAGTGTGCTTTATACATGTGTCATTGGTAATCTTAATTAACCGAAGGTATCGCTCTCAATCATAAATTATATTTTAAATAAAACTTACGGGCATAACATTTTGTGGGTTCTTAATTTTAAATTCTAATTCAATCATTAAAATAAGAGTTCACTTGAAGTGAGAAATATTCCTAACTTGAGCACTTTTATTTGTTGAGGTCGCTTGTAATTAGCAACTCAATTATTATTAAGGTCGTTGGTGGCAAGGAGAGGAAGTAATCAGTCCTATTATTTGTGCTGTTTAAAATATAAGTTTTGATAATGTTGTTTATGGCAGATAACACAAGGAGTATCCGCCTAAGCTCTATCCCATTTTTGATCGACAGCATCGAGAGAGAAAAGCGTTAAGCTAATTTACTTATAGTATAAATTGTTCTTCACCTTTTCGTTGTTTATGTGAAATGCCTTCCGTATCACAGTGGTTAAGCAGCAAAATATAAATGAACAATGATATGTAAATACTTTTTGACATTTATTTGAAAATTTTATTTCTTTCAGAATACTATAATGTATTTTATTTTTTTAAGCCCAAAGAAAATACTGAAATACATTTTATTATTTATCTAAAAATTACGATTTTTAAAGCTATTCCAAGGTTAATGTTAACGAACAATAAGTACTCATCCTTAATTTCAATTTTTATTTCAACAAGGAAATAAGTTGCTACTTTAAAAGGAATATCGTTAAAAAAAGGTATTATAATCGTTGCTAAAATAGCTTTCAATAGTTTAATTTCATTTTTGGAACACTTTTTATACTTCCAAAATGTATACTTAAATAATCTATTTCCGTCAGCGGTAGTTTTCTGCATTTTTAGAAATAATTCAGTTTGAGAGTTTGTAACTGAAAATATTGTCTTACTAGGCAATGCACCTGAAGTAAATTCGGGAATTTCTAATGAAATTATAGACAATGGTCGTTTACACTTCTAGTTACAATATGCATTTTGACCTTGCGATATACTTAAATTACCTTAAATTCCAAAAGAAAGGGAAATTTCATTACCTGGACTCCACCCTTCAGTTAAGCTCTGCAATGAATTAGTGTTTTCGTTATTTAATGTACAAGGATAATTTCCACACATAAGAGAGCTGCATTTTCCAACATAGGTCTCATCAAACGTTTGTTTTACATATCGCACAAATATCATACTTAAAAATATGTATTCAAATCATACATTTCATAGTTATTTCATTAAAGCGTTAGGAATGTAATGAAATTTCTTTATTAGTAGCATTCTTGGGAAAAGACATCAATATATTTTCACAAATGGTTAGTCTAATAACCATTACTTCTACTAATTTTCCTATATTATGTTAAATCCTAATCCTTGTTTCCTAATTACTCTTTCATTGTTTGCATTTGTGTAAAAGAGGATTTAAATATAAAAGTGTATTTTCTTTCATCATATATTGTACATTTTTGACCATATAACTTTTATATCTGACTAAGTGTTGCATTCATTAGACAACCTTGCTATACAAATATATATATTATGCTCATTTGGATATATTTATGAAATCGGAATGTATATATTCCATTATTCGGAATGAATGAATTAAATCCTTGCAATACTCAGGTGTTTTTAATCTTTGCTGCATGCATTAAAATGTTTGTTTATTTTTTTAAATTTCTCGCATTGCTGATCCAAAAGCGGACTCCAACAATTGTCGGTTATATAGCAAATTTTCAGAACAAATTCGACGGTAACAGTATTTTTCGACTAAGTGGTTGGCTTTATGAACTCGTTTTCAGGGTTATGGGAAAGGATCAAATTTTCTTCTTGCCAAGAAGAAATTTAAAGCTGTATTGAACTGAGAATAACGTTAGCCGAAGCCTGGAAACCACTGCATTTCTCCAATATTGTGAACTACTTCTGTTATGTCATTAAAACTCTTTCGTGTATAGTTTAAAGCTTTATATCAGTTATTTTTGTATTGAGGCCATTTCGCCGTGACAATGCTTGCCAAGAGAGCATTAAGAGACATAGATAATGAATTTAACCCTTTTATTGGTCGTCGCCATTAATCGTACGAAAAATGGAGTGGGAATCCACATAGTTACGATGAAATGCGAAGGCAGCTTTAATGGAAACTGATGAGGCAAAAGAGTTTAGAAAAATTATTAGCGTCGCGGCCATCATGCATTTGCATCTTGCATTCTGGAGTAGGATGGTTTTGCCCTGACGTTTCACAAAGTATTTTTGAATATATATAGATTAAAATTGATTTAGCTGATTTCTCCCGAGTGCAGGTATTCGAAAACTTGAGAAAATAAAGTACGTAATGATCACATAAACAAATACAGCATTTTCGACGAAAAGATGTTACTTCTTTCGGAGTTATTTAAGAATGGAAGGAAGGTTGACAAATAGTCAAAATATTATGCTGACTAGAAAACATTCAGTTTTTGAAAATATAAAATCGCTAACGTAGGTCTCAAAATCGTGTTTTGTTGAACAATTCAGCAATACTTTTAATTTTTTTAAGGTGACTGAAAATCGAAATTATGTGCTATTTATATTTGTTAAATTATCCATTAAACTGTGTTTATTAAGTATTAATGTAGATTGAAACTGAAAAGTGTGTTTTAAGATGGCGAGAAAAAAAATGGAAGAAAAAGGTGACTGAAGAAGTTTTTTGTTATTTTACAATTTTTACGTTATCATATGCATCTTATTTTATTTTCTGTAAAGCCTTGCCTAGTATGTTTTTAAGTATCTCTTCATAATCAACATTACCTACTTAAAATGCTTTTTGTTTTTTACTATATCAAATCGTTTATTCTATTCATATTTTTTCGATTTCATATTATAGATAACGTAGGGTATAATGCGATTTGAATCAATTAATATCATTAAATGATTTTGAGACCTAAAGTTAGTTCTCTTGAAGTGCACAGTGTAATAACTAATTTGTTAATAACCAACGAAATAGATCAAAATGCGTCACAAAAGGCAAAATTTCTTCTTATCTCAAGTTTAGCGTTTCATATGAGGCTTGTTACGTATTAAAAATGCATTGCATTAAATTTGATTCATTTTAATTGTTTGCAGTCAAATAGTTAAGGAAGTTAACTATGAAAATCTTTAATAAAAATTATCGGAAATTATATCTCAAAACTTTTTTTTTTGAAAAAAAATGAGTAAAATAAAATTATTTTGTCAATGTTCTGTAATTTGACAGAGAGTGTAAAACTCGTGCTGTAATGAATGGTTTATGGCTTTGTAATCCTTATTACTTTAGTGATGCCTTTTGGTTATAACTTTGTGGCAAAATATGCTCCAGCTTGAAGGACAACAGAAAGCATGACGGAAGGATGAAACAGAAATGTGTACAAAGCGACGTGCGATGGGAAGAAAGGCCACTAATAGGTTTGTTCTGCTTGCTAGAGTAGCGTGAAGTTCTCCTCCTGCGACGGCTTGATGACGGCAAAGGTGAGGACGAAGCCGACGGTGAAGATGCCAAAGAGCAGCGGGAAGACGGCTTTCGAGACATTGTCGATCTGTTTGGCCAGTCTTTGCCTGTTGCGCGTGTCAGGAGTGACAAAAAGTTGAGGACGTCTCAACCAGGCGAAGACTGAGGCCGCGGCCCTAGCCTTGTCACTCTGCAGCCGGTGGTTGAGGGCGGAAGGGTGCTCGGGGACGGCGTTCGGGGTTGTGGCGGGCGTCTGGGTTGGCTGCTGGACGTTGGTGTCGGAGAACACTCGGCGACTGTTGGTCTGAAAGAAAAAGAATGGAATCTAATAACTATAAAATAGCATTAAAAATATATATTCGTTTTTGTTAAATCAAATTTAGTTTCTTTCATATTTGCGACATTTTACATTTACTGCAATATCCCCTTATCCGTTGACCCATTATTCGTGGTTTCAATTACACGCAGTTATCAGTGTTCTAAAACGGCTCCTGGAAAGAAAGCAGAAATAAAGAGTATTTATAAGTTTAAAAAAATGCACGTGAGAGGTATAAAAAGTGAGAATAAACATGATGCACATCAGCAAATCAAATGTGGCACTCATGTCATCTGGCGGTAGTCAAGAACCTATGAACGTATCTCTTTCGGACTGAAGATGTAAAGCAAGACTGCTGAAAATTGTCTTTGAGAAACTATACTCTTCACACCTCTGACTTAATTCACATTCTTTATTAGATCAACTTAATTTATTTTATTCATACGTATTCACTTCTCACTTAATTCACATTCTTCCTGGATCAACATTAAGTAATGGTTGAGTTCAATGTATGGTTTATCTTCTCTGTTACTAAATAATGAAGAAACTGTATATTATGTTCTTAGCATTGTGGAAAAACGGCTGCAACTAGAGCCACTAAATCTTAAACACACCTATCCATCCATCCGAACATATGCACTTCGAAGCTAGAATTTTGAATTTCCTATTTGTTTTTAATTTTATTTATATTTTACGCTATGGTATTTTCATTAAACTCGACAATTGAAAGGCAGTGTGTTGCTACTTGAGAAATAGTAAGCTATTCATTTCAACTTTAATCATGAAAGTCTGCTATTTAAAGGAAATGGGCTGTCACTCGACAAAGCATAAAATATTTGTGTTTCGAATTTAATCAGAAAACTCATCAATTTATAAGAAATGTGTTGTCACTGCCAGAAGTAGAATATCCTTATTCCATACATCAGTGTGTTTCCATTCAAAAAAAGATAAGATATTTAATTTTTCTTTGAAATTTAATCTATCTGTTACTCATTAACTAATTAAGCAATTTGAAAGCAATATATGCATTTCTTCATATTTAAACAATAATAATAAATAACTAGCTGGGGCCGGAATAACTAGCTATAAAATCATTATATATTTTCTTACTTTAAAATAATTATTTCAAGGGGTTGACTTCTCAAGCGGCTTTGCCTGAAAAAATGCTTAAATTGATTATATTCTGTTGTGCCAAACGGCCACAAAAGGGAGCTGGACTATGAGAGGGATGAAGAACGAATCCAGATGTACAGTTTTACCATGTCAAGTTGAATCTGCACTTTTGTGGCAGTTTGTACGTAAACATAGTTTTCGTGTTTTCTCATAAGCGAAATTGTGGGTTCGATTCCAGGCAAATGGGCTGGCTGCATCAGCGTTTTCGTGTTTTCCTTCATGTGTAACGCGGATACGAGTTAGTTTTCCTTATAAAGTCCTCCAGGAAGGTATCCTTCCTCAGGCAGATAACCTTAGCGCATTTTGCCATAATCAAATAAATCAAAACAAAATCATCAACGAAAACGCAGATAGTTCTGAGAAGCGTTCTGCTTATGTGTGACATGAGGAAAATTTGGATCTTAAGCGTTGGAATTGTTGAGGACAGCTAATATGAATATTGCTTTTTTATTCCACCCAAGTTTTCACGTAACACAAAGCTCTCATTGACGGAAACAAGACCGTTCGGAACTAATGGCGTGCAGGTCATTCTTCAGCTTCAAAAAATGAGAGCAATATTCTTCGTATATAAACTATAATTACATGTATGTTGCATTAAAACAAAGCGTTTTTAAAGTCATTCTCTTTATTTTTGGAACAAATATGCATGAGGCTTGGAGATGGCTATCTGTTGTCAGACTGCAAATTATCTTCAGAGCCGAATTTAATCAGTCTGTGGCCTTAGGCAGCCTAGCGCTCTTTTTGGAGCCTCTAATTTGTTCTTGTCTTATTTATCAGAGGTGAACAGATTTATGAGAAATTATAGATTGATTTGACAGTCCTCTTGAATCTAAGGCCTTAGGCCTCGGTTTTTTGGGTTTAGGCAATACGTAAGCTCTGGCCATTCTCCTTTACTTCCGTAACCTCACTTCATCAATGAAACTTGCTCGCATTTTATTCCTATGCTTCTATTTGTATTCCTCCCATATATTTTCATGAGCGCTAAGTCATCGCTCTATCGTGTTCGAAAACTTTTATTTTCCTCAAAATGGAAGCCATCATTTTTTTTTTCCCAAAGAAAGGAAGCTAAAATTTTAAGTATTTTTGAAATAGTGAGAAAGAGTCTTATGAGGAGTTAGAATCACTTACTTTTATGTGTGCGAGAGAAGAACTATAAATTGTAATGCATATTCTTTAATTATGAATGTAGTATACAACATGGTACACATTTATACTTTATTATTTAAAATCGTTTATGTTTTAGTATGTAAAATTTGTCAGTGAAACTACCGTATTTATTACCTTACACGAATGCCATTTTATATAACATTGAGAATTGTAGGAAGTTTATCCTTGAAACATATTATCGGCAGTTATAGGAACATTGCTGTATGTATGTCCTCTCTTTTCTGCTTGCCATATGTTAGAAATACGATCTTCAGGGCTGATTTCAAAGTTCATTAGGCTGGGGGATTTCTAGGATTTTTGCATGATTTTTGCATACCATCAAGGCTTCCATTTTGGAAGCCTTGATTCCATTTTAGAATATTTCAGGAAGTACAGTCTTGGACTGTACTTCCTGAAATATTCTAAAAATTTTGATAAAGAAACAAAAATACTTATTTTAGAACCAGATTTTTTAGCTTTATTTGGAAATACAAAAGGAATGAGATAATCCGTTAATTTAGGAAATTTTAAGTTTCTGAATTCCAAAATAGGGATGTAAATAATCGATTATCTATTGAAAAGATCATATTCGGTGTTAATGATATGTTAGTAGTGCTACTTTGTTGGTTCAGTGGAGATAAAGAATTTCACGAGAGATAGCAGTACTTAAAAGGCGTGATTGTAGCAAATTTATCTATGGAAAATTTATACGTTGTTTTACGTAAGTCGACAGAAATTTATTAGAAGTATTTTGCAGTTTCTTAAAATTTATGACAGAGTTAAGTTGATTTCCTTGAAGATAAGTTAATTACATCTCCTTTTCGGAGTCAGTTTACATATACTGAGTTAGGTTATGGGACAGACAGAAGTTAATAGGAAAAAAAAATTGAAACATTCAATTGCGTACTTACCCTGAGTCAGATATGGTATCTCCGAATGACTGGCTCGGTATGCTAAGTGTTTGCTCTACAGACATGCACAAGGGAAGAATAACTTTAATTGCTTGAAAAGTATAAATCATATCTCCTTTTAAATAGGCAAAAAATATTCACTCTATATTCAAATCACTGAAAAATGGTAATAGCAGGTAGAGAATGCCATGGGCTCTATACCATGGGCGTAAGTTAGGGGTTGAAATGAGCCGTGCTACCAGAAAAGCTGGTAATGTTTCGTTGCCAGACTTAACCTAAATCAATAGAATGCTATAAATTATGGTTAATTGTAAGGGATATTTAATTTTTACTGCCGCGGAATATAACAAAGCGGTGAATTACTTACGTGGTAGTTAAGGAGGGTAGTAAACAAGTTTGAATGGGAGCAACGCTAAAATGCTTACTTTTCTTTGCACACAATGAACAGCCGTATAGATTTTTTAGCTATATCTATCTTTTGCGATTATTCGCCGCTGAAATTATCTGGGAGGCGCTACTTCGTCTAATCCAACCATAGAGAATTCTAAGCATGTTATATGAAATTTTACCGATATCAGAAGTGTTTATAAATAGATTGATTGTGCAGATAAACATCTGGTTCAAGTTGATTTGTAGCAGCAACACTTTTAGAATTTGTTCATATAAGTCAATACTTTTTAGGATGATTTGTGTCACGTATAGCATATCTAAGGAAAAAAAATACAGACCAGAATTTAAGAAAAGCAAATTGAAATTTTCAACATTCTTCTGCATTATTAAGTTAGAACGGATGTAGGAGAATAAGAATTCAAATTATGAGTTTCAAAGTCGCAAAAATAAATATGCTTAACAAAGAATAATTGTGCATTACAAAGAGCACCGCCATTACCTTTTGGTTTGATAAGTATACAACTAATTAAGTTGAAATATCGTGAAGTAAAATTATAATCATTTTTACGTAAGCGTTCTCATAATTTGAAAATAATTTTGTTTGCTCCACCTGCGTAAACCATTTTAGTTTGTACGCACATGAAAATGAGGTTGTTCTGCAAAACAGTGCCAAAGTATTGATTTCGAATTTGTGTTACATTTTTAAAGAATTCTTAACTTTAAAAAAATGTTTTAGTATTGGGTATAAAGTTTTAAACGCTTAATGTATAATTTAATTAAACGATAACTATCTGAAATTTAACATCGAACAAGACATTAAAAGGAAATATAGGAAATTTTGTAGTATTTATTTTTTGTATAATGAAATGGTAGCTTTGCTAAGAGAAGATGAATATTATTCTTTTTTTCTTTTTCTTCCAATTCTGCGCTTTATTGCATATTTTTAAATGGAAATTGGATATTTAATTAATTATTATATGATGAAAATGATTCCTATTTTTCTCTCATAATCCGCATATCGAAAGGTTATCAGTAGGTACAGAAGGATTGTTAAACTGCATTATTTCAATTGAGTTACTGATCCAGTTACTCTCCCGAAATACATCTAATGCAGACAAAAAAAGAAGAAATGTGAAGAATGCATGCAATAAATGGTTATAAATTATTACCTGGGCAAGGGACGGGTTCTTCAGGGATTCAGGCACCGGCGCCGATACGGGGCGGCTGCTGGAAGCTCCAGGCAGTTTCCGGTACAAATAATTGACGATGATGAATTCCAGCATAGAGGCGTAAATGAAAAACATGCACACTCCGTCCCACAGATTCATGGCCGTTAAGTTGGACACGACTGGCAGAGTGGAGCGGAAGCCGTTGGTAGTAGTGCAAAAGTTCAACATGGTGGTCACGCCTATCATCACCCTAGCCGGCACAGCATTTATGTCCAGCCAGAAACTGATGAAGGAGCTGGTCACCAGGACAACACCCGGAACGAAAACTGTGCTGATATAGAAAGACTTGTCCCGCGTGAAAACTAATAGAACGTTTAAGCAGCTGTAGCTATCTGTCAAAAATAATTGGGTCAAGGATTAGTTATCTTATCGAAAGCAATTGAAAGAACTGAAATAATATTTTAAAACCAAGAAAAGTAATAAAATTATTGCAATAATAGTGCTTAAATATTTTGATGCCCAGGAAAAGAATGAAATGAGATGTCTTTAACCATTCGCTATTTACTGTTACTTGACTAGATTACAGTTTATTCGCTATTTACTCTTACTTTGTATGGTAGATACATACATGCAAGGTTTTGTATTATTGTTGGAAAATGTACTTGAATTTTTAGATGAAACATCGTGGTAGCCAAAACAATATTTACGTGGTAATGTTTGATTGTTAAAAAAAACAGAAACATAAGCGTTCGAGTTTCAAAGAAAAATTCTGAATTATGAGAGATGAACTAATTATTTAATAGAAATTACAATACGGAAACATGTTCAAAAAAATTTCATGCATGTGATTTATTTTTTTTCCGTGGGGGAGGGAGGCTATTTTAAGTACATGTAGAAACTCATATTCAAAGTTTCATCTAGAGTTTTGAATATATATTACGGTTCTGTTCTGGATTATTCATCACTGAGCCTGTAACTATATATTTATTAACTTTGGTCTATTATCAAAACTCTCTTTGTTAATTTTTATTATAAAGGTATATGTTATTGCCGAAATAATATTTCTCCAAGGGCCTCTCATATATAAAATCAAATATTTCATATGTTCATTGGTACGTATTGAACATAAGGTATTATGCAAGATTTGTAGTTTTGTAGCACTGTTGCTACCAAAACAACGAACTGACAGCAATGATTGAATCAGCGGCGTCAATTATGAAGAAAATTTTATACTTGGAATGAAATAGAATTATAAACTGTATTTATCTTATGAAAATGAAATTATTAACTGCATTTATCTTAAGATCTTTGTATAGATTTTCAAATTTTGGACAAACCAAAATCAGTAATTTAAATATATCATATATTATATATATATATATATTGAATGACTTATAGCTTCTTGCTCTAAGACATCGCTGCTATTGCAAATAGAGTCGCATATAGAATAAAATGGTTATGTGCATAAGTTCTTTTGGTTTCAGTTACTCACTTTGATTTGAGACCCATCAATGAATAAACAAGCTCGAAAATGGATATAAACTGAAGGACAGTACATAAGTTCTCAAAATTCCAAGTATTTAAACAGAAATAGTATTTCAAGAAATGAATCATCGAAATTTTAAATCATATAATTACTTTTTATAATAATGTTTGTATACACAGATAGATACCAATTTAGTTAAATCTTTTAACATAAAGTTTTGATTCTTCCCATCCCTTCCCCTTAAAGTTTTTTTTTTTTTTTTTTTTTTTTTTTTTCATCTGCATTGGGTGAAAAAAATCATCTCTTTACATGAATGTTTTGATTTGAATTTAAAGACTGAATTTCATTATACGTTAAATATTATACAGCCCATTTACATGTTTCAAATTCGTTAACATAAACATTTCTTGTGAAACTTCAAACTATTTGAATATATAAAAGTTTGTTGAAGACTATTGCTGCCTTTGAAATAAGGAAATAACGCATGACAGGAATAAAATATTTTGTGTGACTATACAGTATTTTGGGTGATTTGTTTACAAATACTCCATTTCTATTTTCAAAACTTTATAAAATGGCTAAATAATAATAGCGTAGCATTAAAACTCCAGATGCATACCAAAAATCTTAAAGGAGACATGCGTCAAAATATACTGTTTTATAGTTAGGCAACGTTAATGATATTTATCGATGAATGTAGAACAAAAAATATAAACTATGAATTAGCAATAATTAAAATGTAAACCCATTGAATGCCTAACAAGGTATTTTAAATCAAATAACAGTTGCGTGTACTTAGATAAGGTCAGTTGTTACCGATAATAATACAGGAATTATCAGAAAGTTTAAATAAAATTCAAACTAAATGTATTTACAAAGTCATCCATTTGAAAATGAAATTATAATATATTTTCTCTCTCCTTTCCGCATGCCTTTGTGGTTTACTTGGAAGCACACTAGAAGCGTATTCAGAAGGTTCAGGGTTCGAGTCGCGGCGATGGAACTGCACATTTTTCACTAACTCTAAAAAAAAATTTTTTTTTTTCTTTGTTAGTCTTCTTCCTCCTAGAAATAATTTTAGTGAGAAACAAATATTCAGTTAAAAGATTAACATGAATTGGAATTTACGTAACAAGTCTTGGGAAGCTATTAAAAATATAACTGTAAGAAAAAAGTACATTATACATATTAAGAATCAGACGTAATTTATATTTAAAATCATCTGTAATCAATGCAAGCTAAAAAGAATCTGTAATAATTACAGAACGAGCATTTATGGAAGTTATGTAATGCGCAAATCTAAAATATTACCTCGAATTATGAGTAACTTTTTCTTAGAATTTATATTATTTATAATTATGGGGATCAAGAAAGTACATGTGAATACAAATACGTAAATTTGTTCTGATTTTACGACAAGAAAAAATTAAATTTATTAGAAAAGTATTGAAATGTTTCATTTAGAGTAGTCAACACTTTGTTCGCATTAAATATTACACAAAACATGACAGAATTCAAAATGAAACAGAGGAGGCGATTCAGGTGTCCGGTAGAATGCAAAATAATATTGTTTAAATAATTAATATAGCCGATGACTGATAAATCTCGAATCGTAAGCAGGACTTGATTAATTATGTAGTGCAGTAGTATTTACACTTAATTGCAGTATGCCCCCCATAAAAATGCAAATGACGCCAAAAAAAAAAAAAAAAAAAAAAAAAAAAAAAAAAAACAATTTCGCGACCCCAAGAATTCATCGAATCAGTTTTGGAAGATTTCTTTCCATCACTCTAAATTTTTATAAACTATAAACTGAATGGCAACACTCTAGAGTGTGAAAGATAAAAGTGTTTTATTTCCAGCCGCGGCACCACATTGCTTGTGAGGTGAGCTTGTTTATGAGATACATTCCGCAAGAAAAGAAAAGGAAGAATGACCTTATTTGTTTACATTAATTACACATAAGTCACTTGATTTCTGAGATCATCGGCATTAATCTCATTAAAATTGAAAAATAAATGTCTTTCATTTTTCTAAATGCAGCTGTCTTGCGCTCTGGAAATAAAAATGTCCTATTTCGATCAGTGTTGCCACTGTTAGATTTCAGATCGTTTAGTTTGTTAATCAAAAATTCATTAGAGTTTTAAGAAGTATTGTTGCGTGATGCCCAGCGACCATGCGGTCAAATAGCGTGTTCGCAAAGCGGGCTTAAGAATACCAGAAAGAGGCAGGAAAAGGCAGGATTGCCGGATTTGGCGCAAAATCTCCCATTCGGCGATATTTGGTGACAAAACTGGTGGATCATATGTCATAGACGGAGCAAAAACATCCTAAAACATATTTTTAGCAATTTTTTCGAGAATATTCTCGAAGGTAGGTTAAAATTACATATATATATGTGTGTGTGTGTGTATAGCTTTAACCTGCTTTCGATATATATATATATATATACACACACTGCCTATATTGGGACAGAGTAATGTCCTGGGAGAGTGTAGTTCAGAGATTAGCCTGAGAGCAATCGATCAAGTCGGGAACTGTACTTTAGTGCTTTGCCGTGAAGCTGTCTTCACCGTTATAGCCTAAAGGCTGTGTTGCTGATTGTTTCAGGGTGTTTATCGTTGTCTTTGGAACTGCTTTGAGTAATGCTGGCGAAACGAGTCTTTGGAACTGTTCTGGGTAATACTGGCGAATAAACTGTGTTTTGATTCTTCGTCAAGCAATATCATCAATTACCCAAAATTCACGAACTGTAGAACGCAAAAATATGAAAGGAGTAGCAAAACAAATTCGATATTCAAAATTCGGGCTTCCAGATGCACATGTTCGGGTAGAGGGCTACGTTGCTCAAACTTTGATGGCTAGAGGTACCTTCGTTTTTTCACAATGTGAGGAACATACATACACACATTCATGTAAATGTTTCAGTATGTAATTTCTTAAAAAAAAAATAGTACAGAGCAATAGTATTTGGAGGCAACAATTTGAAAAATAATACGCCGTTTATAGTGGATCAAGACTATTTTGGGCTTAAAAAAGTTTTCTTGTTTCATTTTAATGTATTTAAAATTGTTGACATTATTTTAGGGAATCAAAAGTGGCCTATCACTATTGTGCGGCACTGAGTCTAGTTTTCTTATTATTTATGGATTAAGTTAAATTGCAAGTTAGTTAAATTGCAAGTAATCCTACGATCTAAATAATTGAGAATTCTGCAATAGAAGATGTTTTAAATTTAACCAAATTTCAGAGGCGATTAAAATATTTTAACTATCTTTTACACTTTAATTTTAACTAACGGAAGTATGGTGAGCAAAAACTCGCCTGATGAAACGCACCTTTATTTAATTTGTGATTAGAGATTTTACACAACATTTCCAAAGTTATTATAGTTTCTATTAATAGAGTTTTCATCATATTGTATGATTATACAGTTCAGGGTTTTTTTAATATAATACACAGTTTTCTAATTGTTGAAGGTACAAGGTGAAGAGGTATCTGAGGAAAGGACAGTATGTGCATAACTTAGAACTGTTGCGGCGGACCACACAGAGATGAGAAAATCGTGTGTGCGGTCTTCGTAAAAAACACTGTTTCCAAGCTTTTATGACGTGTCAGACGACAAAGTCTAACATCGCAGACGTAATAATTCGTTCCAGTTGACAATGCAAGAGACATAACTTCACTATTAGTATCAATGGATTTTAGCGTTCTGCACTGTGTCTATCGTCAAAAACCTCTCGATTTTAGGTGGGCTGATGAACCAATGATCTTGTTTTCCTCTGATATCGTTCCACAAATAACGAACCGGAGGACGTAAAGTAATACTGAAAAATTAAGGAGGCGTGGTTAAATCAGTTTGAAGATTTTTTTCATCTTTTCATCGGAACAAGACTCAGAATGCTCCTGAACTCTCGGCTAGAGAGACCCTAGCTGGCAGGCTCCTCACGTCACGAGGATTATAATTCACTCCCATAACTGTTATATGCTATCCATCAATTATATATATTCCTAAAGAGCTTCTCGTAATTGTAATGTTTTGAGTTCAATAATGCTGTGAGTATCATGCAACCTCACAAATGTACTAATCATTATAAGGAGTCAGATGCGCTATATGCGGCCATCTACGTGATTTTTGAAAGAAATCACAAAAAGTATTGGAATCAAATTCCAGCACTCTGTCGCTAAAATTGAGTGACAAATACAGAGCAATAGACATATTGTAAATGAACTAACAAACAGCTCAAATTATGTTATTCTTTCAGAAGCATCATGTCAGAAAATTTCACGCTATTTGGATAATCAATATTCACGTAAAAAGCGCAAACGATTAGTAATAGTATTAAAAAAGACTTTTTTCTATTCTTCCTGGAAATACAGTTTTAAAAATTAAATTTAAATAAATTAATGTCATATTTCTTTGAGCCCAATACAATTCAATTATAGAAAATGTAATTCTTAAAAGTTAAAAATTAGGAGATGCATCTTACGTCATAGAATGTAAGTTTAATTATTCTTTTGTTTTCATCTATAAGCTTAACGCAAGAAATCCGTATTAAGCAATTTAGAAACTAAATCGTCTAATCTTTGGAATATGGTAACAGGTAGTTTGGCGACATTTTGGTAAGGCGATAAAGGTTACTAGCTAGGACTTAAGCAATAATCTGAGAAGTACACAGTTCCAATATTTTGTCTCAGAGAAATTTTCAAAAATATCTGCAGTACTTCATACAATTTTGCATGTTCAGCTTCATTCCATCTTGTATCTTGCGTGAAACAGTGTTGCTTAATATTTGGATCCCATGGCCCTCTCTAAAGTAAATTCCAAATTTTTATTGCATTTATGTGATCATCCAAAAGAGTTGCTTGAATGGTGTATGAGTGTAGGATTAATTGCAGATAAATATGAATGTCCAACATGTGTGAATGAAATGAGATTGTGTGAAAGGAAGGCTATTACAGATAAGTTTGAATGGCGGTGCAAGAAATCTAGTGAAAATGGACATTTTGTGAAATGGAGTGTAAGGAAGGGTACGTGGTTTGCTGAAAGTCGTTTGTGTATGGGTGAAATTTTATAATTTCTTACTACTGGGTGAATCGACTGCCAGTTGACTACTGGATTTCCGATTTAGGAATTAGCAGTAGTACTGCAGCCGATTGGAACTGTTTCTGTAGAGAAGTGTGCGTGGAATTTTGCGAGAATGATATGGGTATGCTTGGTGGTATGGATGTCATTGTTGAAATTGACGAAAGTAAGTTTGGCAAACGCAAGTATCAGAGAGGTAGGAGAGTGGAAGGAAAATGGGTGTTTGGTGGGATTGAAAGGGAAAGTAATAAGAGTTTTTTAAGGTTGTGCCAGATAGAAGTAAAGATTGCTTATTAAGTTTCATTAAGCAGTATATTCCACCTGGTACAATAATAATATCTGATTTTTGGAAATCATATGCCTGTTTGGAGGATGAAGGTTTAGAGCATCTTGCTGTTAACCATTAAGTATCATTTCAAAGATCCTCAAACAGGCGCACATACGAATACGATTGAGGGCACATGGGGTGCTATAAAAAGGGCTGTTCCCAAGCATTATAATAAGCAGAATTTTGCTTTTTATTTAGCACAGCATGTATGGCGGAAAAATTCACAGAAAAAATCATTCAATGATTTTGTTGAATCCATAAAAAAAATTTATCCGCCATACACTCAAGATTCTGAAGATTAGGTATGTTCGTATTTTTAATCATTTGAAGAGATTATTTTTATGAATTGTTTTAAATATAAGTAATAAATAAATTAATATGCTATTATTAGAAATTTTTTATTAGCAATAATTTAGTTAAAGTAACTAAGATTTTAAGCTAATTCCTATTAATTTAATGTATATGTTTATTTATATTTTAACTAGTGTTTTTTAATTTATTTATATTTGAATTAAATGATAGTGATTTTGTGCATTATGCATTTGTAGCATTTTAGAATACATTTCAGTAGAAGTAAACCTGCATGGAAATAAGTTAATTATTTGACACTAAGTATTTGCAACCATTTTTAATGTTTGCCTTATAAATTCGAAGGTGACTTTTATAATAGATAATTTAGAGGAAAAAGAAAATTAATGTAATTTCTTGCATATTTTATTTATTTTATACGCGCAAATGTTCATCCTTGGAAAGGGTATATGCAAGCTGAACATATAAAAGCTTGCATAGTATACATACTTTTTAGCGATCAAATAATTTCGTATACGTCCTTTTTACCGACTTCAAAGATTCACAAAATTTTCCTGCATTTTCGTGCAAATTTTTCTAATTTATGAGAAAAATGATTTACATGCTTCATATATAAATTTTCCCTGTAAAATAAATTTCTGTGCACGTTTGTTCCACTACTTTCCGGAAAATTCCGATCGTGATTTTAGCTAATAAAAACTTAGAAACAATTTCGCACCTAATCTTCGTCATGATTATGCATTTTTGTTTCATAAAAGTTCTAGCATAAGCGTAATTCGGCTAGTAGATTGTTGGAAAAAATGTTGAGTAAAAAAAAAAAAAAAAAAAAAAAAAAAAAAAAAAAAACCGCCTTTACTTTGTGAAAACAAAATGGCGTCCCCCCCCCAAAAAAAAACTAGCAGGTTGCTGTAGCAAGGTTGGTCGCCAAAGTTTCGCCAAAAAATCGCTAAGTTACCGTAATTCGAAGATCCACCACTAAATCTTACTTATGGATATTAATAATATAACGGTAAGTGTCATAATAATAACTTAGCAAGTGATATAAAAAATTAAGCGTGATAATAGCAAAATGTTGCGGTGAATGGAAACTGTGCATAAGACAAACAAGCATCTCCAAAGAGCAGTAACTTTCAAGATAAAGAATTGAAAAATACAAAATAACAATGGAACAGTAGGAACAGAGAAATGTGATTTATCAATCAGTGTTTTGTTATTTTAGCACAGAGAGATCATAAATGAAGGTGATAACTGTTTAATATTTATGCGTATTACATGTCCTCCATACTTCTATCTGTATATCTATCTGTCAATGCATGGCTTCATATTGCGTGGTAAACTTTGTAAGGCATAAAATGCAAAGTATAAACTCAAACTTGTAATAAGAGAAAGAATCTTACCTCTCCACGTATGCTGTCGGATGCACTCCCCTGTAACGTTTTTGACGAGATAAGCGTTCTGCTGTCGTAAAGAGGTTGCTCCTCTTATCGCTTGCTCCGTTTTTGACCATCGAAGTTCCACTTCTGTATTTTCATGGGACACTGGAAAAAAATGCTACAGTCTTTAGCATTTTACACATAAACATTTGGAAATCACTTACGTACTCCTGAATATCTATTCTAAATTGAACTAAGATGTAAGTAGTATCTAAGTCGCACTACGAATCTTAATTTTTGAATATCAGAAAATAATAAGCTGACAGCTTGTTTCTAATTAAAGCTGTTAATTTGGATATTATTAGTAATTACCAAAATCTAAATTCTGATTGTAATTTACTGAACAACAAACATACTGCTGTATGTTTGTAAGTATTAGGAAATACTGCAGTTTGTTACTAAAGGTGTATGAAAGATGTGCTTTCAGTACGCAAAGAATAAATGTGGAATGGTAATAGGAAGTAACAACAGTAATAACAAATCTAAAATAGGTATCTAATAAAATGTGTGAATTTCATGACTAATTTGTATTCAGCATCACAATAACGAGAATGACAAGATATACGAGGGACATTTTATGCTTTAAAAATATGCATATGCTAAAATTCTTTCATTTGCTCCTTTTTATATCTGACAGAGCCAATGGAGAGTCTAAATATTTTCCTCAATGTCAATAATTGTTTGTATATCCATGGTCGGGTGATACTTTTATCTCGTGTTTACCAACCGTACGAAGACAACTTACGTGAATAAGAATTACTGTGTATTTTTCTCGCCGGTTGGATGAGAAGGCCATCCTTGGAACTTCACCTTAGCCATGAACTGAACAAATGGCATACGATTAACTTAAAGCTTCAAATATTTTCCAGTTTCAAATAAATTTTGCTATTGTCGGCCAAATCAGTGAAGTCTATGTAACAGCAATCTGCTTACTTTCTGAGAAAAGTGTAACAGCATTTGCAACCACTGCCTGCTGACTTTAAACATTATCACTGAATTTGATAAGGTTTAAATATGCATGTAATTCTCAAAACTGCTAAAAACCTTATAATTTAGTCATTCATATTCAAAACACTTGACCGAACATTCAGAAAAAGAGATTTCTTTGTTGCACACATTTGCTAAACCGCAAAATGCTATACAGTTTTTGCCAGTTGCAAATTTATATACCGGAACCACAAAGTTATTTTGGCACCGTTGGTGGTATGCTTCCAATCACAAAAATGTTTTAAATGGAGCTAAGATTCCCGTTATTAAATAAAAAACGTTTTGTACAAAAGACAAAATCATTTTGCGCTTTCCTCTGGTCTCTATACTTATATTTTGAAACATTTTTAACTCATTATAAGAAGTGAAATTATAAAATAGTCAATTACTAATACTATAAAATTTCAATTAATATGATTTCCACAATACAGCGCCATATTTTTATTATTCAGTACAGTAAGAAAAAATATCAGTTTGCAATGTAAATTACAAACTGATTACGGAAAGCAGAATAGAAAATTATTTCAAGCACACACACACACTGGAAGCAGATTCTATAAACACGAACTGGCGACCTTTAAGCGTTGTATCTCGTGAGCATTCGTTAAACCCCTTTCACTTCTCGATACCTCTGCGGGCTTTCGTAATACAGTCCAGGACATGAAGAGATCGTGAATTATTTACGCAGACACTACAATGAAGTTGACAATAAACACATTGGCTAGAAACACTAGAGAAGTCTGAAAACTCAAACAGATTTTCTGATTCCTGCTGCACCAAAAAATAGATTTATAGAATTTTAAGTAATATCTAGCAACCATGCTCATTATACAGAACGCTTTGTACAATACAAGCAAAACGTTTTACTCACTTTTCTGCAGTATCCGGTAAAAAAATGCTTACGAAAATTGTGAATTAATAGCAGAAAAATTATGTGAAATACCTTGAGAATTTATTTCCTTCTATAGATATTTGTCTGAGTATACATGAATATTCAATTTTAAGTGAATAATGCTACAGACTATAAATCAGATTGAGTACTTACCACTTTCTAACGCGAAGGGACACTTGAGATTGTCGAAAGGAAAAATGTGGAGGTTACCCTGGCAGTTCAAAACCATACTTCTCCTAGTTGAAAACGAATAAATAAAATGAATATGTAAGAAGATACTTATATTAAATTCAGCAGAAATACCAAAAGCATCCTAATATTAAAAAAAAAAAAAAAATGTTAAGAAATTCCGAAAACGAATATCCATTTTGATGATAATCGGAAAGTAAAAAAAAATTAAATATATTTATGTGATTAGATCGCATCTTTTTCATCAGTGGCAGAATAAAATAGAGTAGAAATGCCATTTCAGTATTAACAATAATAATACTTCCAAAAAAAAAAAAAAAAGAAAGTGTGAAAGATACTATAGCAGTAAGAATCCAAATAAGGTGCGCATCTATAGTTTCTTCCCCCCATCAATGGCGGCCTCTAGCCGTTTATGGTCTTCGGCCATTATTAAGGCCGGAAGCGGTGGCCATTTTACTAGGTAGGCAAATATGGAGGTAAGAAAGGTCTTACTTCCTACCTCCATGAAGGCAAGTAACAGGTGGGCTAGCGTTGCCCCCTATGAAGAGACGGACAAAGTACATCCATGCTTTCTCCGGGATTTGAAACCGGGACCTTCGGTACTCGGGGCTAAGTTTCGAAAGGGTTCAGTAAATCCTTCTTCTTGAGTTGCATTAGTGAAAATGAGAAGCGGAAGCATGTGCTTGCGCGATAACGATATAAACGACCAAAATATTCGAATTATTGGAAGTAAGTTCCAGTTATGGGAGAGGAAACAAAGTTGACTATTTACCACTGTAAATAGCTGAGTATTTTGTTAATACATGATGCCAGTCGCTTTGTTTTCTCTTGCTTAAGTGGAACTTTCTCGAATATTTTATCTATTTTTATCACGTAAGCGCATGCTTCCCCTTCGTCATTTTCACTCACGAAGCTGAAGAGCAAAAAATTCTGTGTAACATTTAAAAATAAAGTTCATGCGAATTTAGATTAATTATGTTGATTCTTATTGCTATAAAATCTTTAATATACGTATAACATTTAAGTATTGGAAGAGAGGAAGCGAATTGCATACTTAGCTTCCTCTCTTTCGGAAAAAAAATAAAAAGGGAAAGCTACAAAACAATTGCTCAGATATAAAATGCGCTGTGAAGATAGAAGGGGGAATTATAGGCTGAATTTATAAGATAAAGCACACGTTCAAAATCGCATTAAAATCTAATATTTGAAACTGCAGTTTCTAACTGATTTAAATTTAAAGATGTATTTGATTTTGAAATAAACTCTGGGTACGAATATGAGACGATTATTTTTCATTTTACAATGACTTTTTCTTGAAATCACACTAATTTTAAAAACAAATATGATAGGCCAAAATGAACGCATGTCTGTTATTTTTAACTCGTATAACTCCAGTTTCGAAGTTGCAAATTTTATCGATAGGATTTTTAATTGAACTCCTAATGTTCTTTAATTTTTAACAATGACAGATAAATCATAATTAGTGATTGAATGCAGTATAATCTAAGTGAGCAAAATTAAATAAAACCGTATTTTCTCCTTTTGCAACATAACATAAGTATCTAATTTTAACTGGAAGCAAACTCTTAATATTTTGACTATCATTGATCTTTTGAAGTTACGAAGTCTTCTAAAAACGACATGGAAAATATCCGAAAAAAAAAGCTGCCTAAAGTTTATCACAATCTTACGATATATAGCACGATCCCCAATGTCCCTCTGTGAAGATATTTAGAGGCACTGAGGAGAGGTATTCCATGGAAAAAGTGTTGTCTGTTGGATTTCAGAATGTAGTTTCACTAACTTTAATAGCTGATTTAATAAGGTGTAGGATGATATTGTTGTTTCAGGCCTTTAGGAATTATTATAGAATTACTTCTGTCCCTATTACTTAAGTTATAACTAGTTAAGAAAGAAAATTAAGCCATGCCAAAACTCTTCTTCAATCGCACAAACTAAGTCATACAAAACCAGATCAGTCCATTCTGTTTCGTAATTAGGTCAATCAGAAACTTGTGCGCATCTCTTCATATAGACAAACATCCCAACATAAGCAAAAATTTATATTCGCAATGGAAAATCGTTTAAGTTGATACAGTTGATAACGATTAGACTTGCCTCATCGAATATATCACAGAGCCGTTGGGATAGATCCTGAGCGCTATGTGTATAGGGATAAGCGGGTACTTAAATTCTCCATGTTTAATAAAGTAGGTGTCCGGGAGCCAGATGTTATCTGTGTGTAACAGCCCATTCAGGTACCGATGTGTTCCTGCGTCGTCGAATTTGAGCCGGGGGTCGTACCATTTCTGATGCATCAGGAATTCCACTTCGTATTTCTGAAAATAAATAAATAAATAAAATAAAGGTAAAAAAATCTGAAAACCTTCAGATTTTATATTACGCCCAAAGGGGCGATTTTTTTAACGTTTTGTGTATTACCTTTATTTATTAAATATCATGTTCTTCGCACTTAGTCCATAAAATTCAATCCAACAGCAACATCGCAAAATATTTAAAAGAGCATATCTTTAAAATTTCCGATACAGTCTCGAGTGCTCGATATATATTTTTTTTTCGTACAATGTTGTCATTGCTCGCTTTGAAATCGTTTAGTTTGTTAATCAAAAATTCGTTACAAAATAAGAAATCGATAATAAAACAAATTCGAAATTCCAAATTTGGGCTTCAAGATGCCCATATTTGGGTGGAAACTTACGTTATTCAAAATTTGAGGGCTCCTGGTACTGTTGTTTTATCACAATGCAAGAAACATACTCGTACATACATTTCTGCAGATTTTGCATTATTTAATTTCATTAAATATAATACAGGTCTCTAATATTTGGTGGCAACAATCTGAAAAGTGAACCGACATTTAAAGTAAACCAACGCAAAATGCGATAACGAAATCAATAGTCCTTCTGGGTAAATTGCCGTTTTCGATTAATAAAAATATGAAATGTAGTTGTAAAAATACCCTTTATCCTTACTTGCGCTTACAAATCATTATGCGAATATGCATTTGCAACTTTTAAAGCCTAACAAATACATGTGAGGGACATTACCGTCATGCGATGATTTGATTTGTAGTTGCTTTATTTTTTACTACGATATTTTTTACGACCATGTTTTAAAACTGCGATAACTTTGAATCGCTTTATTTTTGACGACGATGTTTTACACCGCGATGTTTCAGAATCGCGATGTTTCAGAACTGCGATGTGATGAACTCCTTGATTTCTTTTCTCTCATGATGTTTTCTCCTGTAACCCAAATGTGTAGATCTCTTTTTAAGTTTGATTTAAAATAACCGTCAGATACTTAGCATTAGTTATTTTCGGAATTTTTTCAATAACTATATATTTATTCAAAATAAGACATCTCATCTTTTTTATGTAGTATCTTATCTTATCACTTATATTTTAAAGACACTCTCAGATAAGGACAGGGACAACAAATGATCTTACACTCCAGAAATTTATATCTCTTTTTTATTGAACATATTTTTGCTTTGTTCATTTTGTAGGTTTTTTTACTTTGAAATCAGTTTGAATCCTTAAAAGTCCGTGTTTGATTCCAGGCGAACTCGCTGGCTGCATGGGCGTTTTCTTAGTTTTCCTCATGCGTAACGTGGATAAGAGCCTAGTTTCCCTTAGAAATTCCTCCATGAAGGCACCGCTACCCTTGATTAGATCGCCATCGTATGCTTTGACATAATCAAATAAACCTTAATCCTTACTAAGACAATTAGGCTAGTTATCGCTCCCTCTGGTAACAGCTGATTGAGCACAAAGTTTAAATAAGTTTTTTTATTTAAAACTTTAAACTGTGCAAATGTACGGCTTGTAATTAATATTAAAATTAATTAGCAAACAACTTAACACCGGCTCAAATTGTGCGGGACTGATTTCGGGTAATTGAGCTATTGATTTCGAGTTGCAACAATTAAGTCACAGAGTTGAATGAGAGAACAATACTTCAATCAGTGACGATAACAAAAGCTCTCTGTTTAATACACTCTTTTGCAAAAAAATCGAAGCACCATGAAGGAAGTGGTTGTTTTTGATGAAATTGAATATGTGTATAGCTCATGCAAAGATAATAAAATGACTAAAAAATCAAGGTCATAGTCCCTGTTCACGGCTCACAATCACCCATTGAGTGTTCAAATTAGTAGTTGGTCGAACCGCCCCTGGCGGCAATGCATGCTTGAATTAGTCGAGGCAAGAAGTGGTAGAGGTTTCTAATGTCATCCTGCGACACATTCTGCCAGGCATTCATCAGTAGTCGCTCCGTATCTGCGATATTTTGTGGTGCCCAATCTGGCGGCCTACCATGCCCCAAACTTGCTCGATTGGTGATAGATCTGGTGACTTTGCTGGCCAAGGAAGAGTATCAACGCACGCAGACAGTCCAGAGATATGCGAGCGGTATGTGACCTGGCATTATCTTGTTGGAAAATGGTTCCAGGATGACGTGCTATGAAGGGTAATGCAACCGGCCGCAGGATGGTATCAACATATCGTTGAGCTGTTAAAGATGTATGAAGGATGAATAAAAATGACTTGCTGTCATAAGAAATAGCGCCCACACCATCACGCCAGGGGTTATGGCTGTATGTCTTAGTAAAACAAAGGCTGATTGGGACCGTTGGCCCCGTCCTCTCTAGACGCGAACACGGTGGTCATCTGCTTGAAGAGTGAAGCGGGATTCATCGCTGAATACTATACGATGCCAATCTGATGGCAGCCATGATGATCGGCTGCACCACCACTCCAGACAACTTCGCCGATGTTGGGGATCAAAGGCAAATGTTTTAAAGAAATTTGTGAGCGTAAGCTCGCCTCAGACAAACGCCGTGAGATGGTGGACGGTACCACGGGAGGTACAGTTTGGTTTGGTTTATTTAATTACGGCAAAGCACACTAGGGATATCTGCCTAGTGTGCTAAAGGAAGGGATGTCTTCGGGAAGGACTTTCTAAGGGAAACTGGCTCGTATACTCGTTACACATGGGGAAAACCACGAAAACGCCCATGCAGCCAGCCCGTTCGTGGGATTCGAACCTCCGGGAGGTACAGATGTGGCTGTAGTGCGTTGAATAATCGTCAATGAACCGTTGGGGTGTTTCAGGCCTGGCGAACAATCATCCTATCTTGCCTCGTATTTGTGCTCCTTGCTTTCCAGAGCGTTCATTTCGTCCGTAATTTCCTTTGTAGCAACCATTGCTGCCAACATCTCTGCACAGCAGTGTTTGTAAGCTGCAGGTGGCGGCCTATTGATCGGTATGACCACCCAGCTTCACATAGCTCTATAATGCGACCACGTTCGAAGTCGTTTAGTTGTCTGTAAGGGTCTTCGATATCGTCGAAATGGCATCTTTAGTTCCTTCTTTCGGAATTACAATGGCAGCAACAAAAAAAGATAAAATTTTCGCCTCTATTACTGGTTTTATACTTTGCAAATTGCGCACTAGAGATGCGCGCTACGATCGCAATTTCTGCTGATTTGCCTTGAAATTGTGATCATTTGCATATTCCATCAAGATGGTTTTGCATACTAAATTTCGTCACGATCGCAAATGTTCTTCTTGGTACTTGGTAAATTTTTTTTTGCAAAAGATTGTATTTTCAAGAACCCTATCTTAAATGCAGTTTCTCGTTTACCCTCTGGTGAGAGCCAATGAAAAAAAGAAGCGACAGTACTGTTTCAGATCATAAAGAGACAAGATAATGTACATAAGGGGTTAATTACAATTTGACTTTGTCACATTTTGTCAGTCAAACTTATTAATTCTAATTTCCATGATCTTAACGTGGCATACTATTCTCTAATAAAAGAAACCACGTCTCTCTTTTTTCACCGTTAGGAAATTAAAGTGTGTGCGTTAGTAATTTTAGATTCATGTAAGTTTCTTAAAAATATATAAGAAATTTACTGAAATGTAGTCAGTCTTTTAAGGCTTTTCGGGTTCGAATGAATTTCGTAAAAGTAATGAATGAAAAGGTCCACGCGCTCATATTTTCCAAAATGTATGTGTATTTTCGGAGTCATGCGGCTTGAATACAGCTAATGATGCGAAACGCTGATTAGTAACAGATCGATACTTTTTTTTTTTCCTATTTTTCAACTTACACTATTAGCAACAGCTGTTTCAGACATTTTTTTAAGGTAAAAAACTCATTAATTATTATTTTGCATCGAAGCACATAGATTAAGGTCTAATTAAAGATTTATAAAACATGACTGAATCTCAGTTTTATTAATTACTTCACTAAGAAAATTATTTCGTATAGAAATAAATTGCGAAGATGTACAATTTTTGCATTACGCGTCGATTTTGAATATACTTCATCACGTTTTTGACCCTATTCTCTTAATCTGTGTCCTGACAAAAAGTATGAAGAAAAAATCTCGCACTGTCTCTAAGAAATTGATTCATTTTAAATATCTTTGTGTTAGTCAGAAATATTTGCTGCAGATTTATACCGTACTATATTTACAAAGAATGTGGATGAATTACATTAATTTTCTCCTGTAACTGCATACGTCTTTTTCACTCATTCTTTATTAATGCATTATAGTTCTGATGCCTCATTGAATGATTAAATGCTCAAAATAATATACAATGATCGCGCTTTCGTCTTTCGCTTTTTTTTTTTTTTTTTTGAAAGAAATAAATATTAGCCAAAAAAGTATTAATGATCGGAGGAAATTTGTATTTAATTAGAATTAGAATAAATTGTTAGCTTAATATGCTCATCTTTTTAAAAATGGAAATTGTATAAATATGTAAAAGTAAGTTACCCGAATCCGTTCTGATCCCACTTAGATAACCGATGGTATTTTGCATTTTAAGTTATTAAAGTTTCCTAACATTGAACTTTTCCCTTTGCTCCATATTTTTGTCTCATCTATAATTCCAGTATCTCTAGTAGTGTGCAAACTCAGTTAATGAAGACACAGAGAATATCAGGTCTTTCCGTTAACCATTAAGTTTAAGTTCCGCGAAGAAGTTTTGCTATAATGAAAATATCTCGATGATTTAAATGTAATATCATTTCTAACCGGCGAGATAGCGTTGTTCCATAAACTGAGGTATAAAGCTACTTCATGAATTTCTTAATTTCTAAAGGTATGCTTCTTAATCTAACTAGTGGACCACTTTTGGTACTTACGCTATAGTCGCGTTTAATTGGAGAAAATTCCACTGTGGAGTAAATAAATATCTTAAATGGCTCACTGTGACGTAACTATATAAGTAGTAGTAGTGGAATTTCAATTCTAACCAAAGTGATAACGAGAGAGCATTACCACCGGGTTTAAAAGCTTACGTC